CACCAAAACCCCCAAACCCCGAAACCCCAAAACCCCTAAACTCCTAAACCCTAAACCCCACAACCAAACCCCTAAACCCTAAACTCCTAAACCCTAAAAGACCTAAACCCCCAAACCCAAAAACCCCCAAACTCTAAAGCCCTAAACCCTTAAAGCCCCAAACCCAAAACCCCCAAACCCTAAACCCCCCTAATCCCTTAAAGCCCTAAACCCCCAAAACCCCTGAAGCTCTAAACCCCTAAACCCTAAAAGCCCTAAACCCCCAAACCCCAAAACCCCCCAACCCTGAACCCCCAAACCCCAAACCCCAAACCCTAAACCCTTAAAACCCTAAACCCCCAAACCCTAAAGTCCCAAACCAAGCCTTAAACCCCCCTAAAAATCAGACCCTTACAGCCCCAAAGCCCCAAACCCCCCGAACTAAACCCTAAACCCTAAACCCTAAACCCTAAAACCCTAAACCCTAAACCCTAAACCCTAAAACCCCAAACCCTAAACCGGAAGGATCTCCCGGGCCCAAGACGGATCGCCCATGGCTTCACCGCACCGAGCCAGTGCGGAGAGTGGCCATGGGACCCGGCTTCGGGTTTAGGGGTTTAGGGTTTAGGGTTTAGGGTTTAGGGTTTAGGGTTTAGGGTTTAGGGTTTAGGGGGGCTTCGGGTTTCGACGTTTTGTTTGGTGGTTTAGGGTTTAGGGTCGGTTTAGGTTTTTTTTTTGGGGGGGGTGGTTTAGGGTTTAGGGTTTTTTGGAGGGTTTAGGGTTTAGGGTTTGGGGTTTAGGGCTTCGAGTTGGGGACTGTATGGTTTAGGGCTTCGGGTTTGGGGCTTAAGGTTGGGGGTTGTGCAGGCGGCGCATCGATTTGCGAGTTTTGGGTATAGGGGTCAGGAGTAAACATAGGTTTACTGACAGGGTTTAGGGCTTCTGGCGGTGTTATAGGGGTTTTGGCACGGGCTTTAACAGGGTTCCCGGCTTGTCTTATAGGGTTTTACCCAGGTATCCAAGTGGTTTGAAAAGTACGACTTAGTTATACCAGGGTTTCTCTGAGGGTGAAAGGGTTTAGGGCTTACGGAATCAAGTTTTGAGCTTAGTGTTTCGGGATTCAGGTCGTCGGCTCTAGCTTTAGGGTAGCATTACCGGCTGCGCTAAGCTGAGGCCGAAACGCTCTCGGTGGTTTCGGAGAGCTGTGCCACAGAACGGCGGCGGTCGTAGGCGCTGGTAGGGCGTGGGGCTATCCTAATGAAAACCTTGCTTATAACTGATAACCTTACTTACTTAACTAAGTCCCATGAGTCTTTAATTTAGGGTTTAGGGCTTGGGATAAACTGGGTTTAGGGGTTCAGGGTTTAGGGCTGTCTGGCTTGAAGCTTCCCTTTCGGGCTGCGTGCCGAGCCGGGGCTGAAAGCTTAAGGTGTGGGCTGAGGGTTTTGGTTTAGGGTTTAGGGTTTAGGGCTTAGGGTTTAGGGCTTAGGGTTTAGGGTTTAGGGTTTAGCATGCGTGGGCTTTCGGATGCTCAAACTTAGGACGAATAGAATTTTGCGGCTTAGACAAAGAGATGTATGACTGGCGACCACTTGACATGCACCACCCACCAGGATCTGCATGGGGACAAATAGGGCCCGCCGGGCCAGAATAGTCCATGAAGTAGATCCCTTTTATTTCAAGGCACTGGAAAGTACCGGTTCGCAGCACTATCGCATCGGTCGGTCCAACGAAACCTGTGCATTTCCCTCTTTTGTTACAGGCGCTGTAACGGATCTGCCTCAGCTGGCCCCTCCCATTCCGGCGACGACCTGGCATTGAGGATTCTAGGCATAGGAACTTACGGCTTAGGACTGGTTTTGGGATCCCTGCGCCCTAACCCATCAAACATAATAACATGAAAGATCGTGATCATCATCATCATCATCATTATCATCACCATCAGCATCTTCCACGAAGTGTACCGCCATGCACAACGCCGCGCTCCCATACTCTCACATGCGACTACGACGTAGGTTAGAGCAGAAAACTGCAGGTCATCGAAGTTCAAAGATTCAGGGCTTAGGGCTTTTCAGCGTTTTAGAGTTTAGAGGATTGAGTTTGAGGATACTAAACCCTAAACTCCCTGAACCCTCAGCCGCCTGCCAAAGAGGCCGTCAAGCTCAGGCATCGCCAACTGCCTGTGGCTGGGCTGGTGGCAGCATGTAAAAGCAGCCAGAACCCTAGCTTGAAGCCCTAAATCCCAAAACCCAAACCCGAAGCCTAAACCCAAACTATAAAACCTAAACCCTGAGCCCCGAATCCTAAATCCAATGTCCTGCACACCCTACAGTCGAAACAGAGGTGTTTCGGTCTCAGCTGCCGTGCTCCCTCGCCCCAAAGGAGCTTGAATTATGATAAGTGTATATGGGTAGTTGTCAAGATTAGGGTCCCTTTTGGGGTACCCTAAATAATAGGTGCCGTATTATAATAAGGACCCAAAAAGGGACCCTAATTTTGACAACTACCCATATACATGTGATGGGTTTTGGAGTTTAGGGTCTCGGGTTTCGGGATAGTTGTTTAGGGTTTAGGGTCTGTGTATACATGTCTGTATAAAACATGTATACACAGACGTACCCGGGGCGAAAGCAATATACTCAACTGCGATAACTGCGAAGCACTGAAGCACTCAGGGCTTAAGGCTTAGGGTTTAGGGTTTCGGGTTTAGGGTAGATTTGTTGCTTGTGGTTTAGGATTCACTGCGATTTTTCCCCAGGTTTCAGCTTGGGTCCAGGGTGCGGCGCCCACGACCCTAAACCCGGCAAGAAAACTCTATAAACCCTCTTAGTTCTAGTTTAGAAACCCTACAAAACACTTCGAAGGCTACCAAACCCGAAACCCTGAAGCCTAAACCCTAAACCCGAAACCCTAAACCCTAAACCCCAAAACCGAAACCAAACCCCAATCCCGACACCCCACAACCCACGTCTTCGTGCAGCTCCGCCGCAGGGTCACCCGCGTGGAAGGAAGAATCTTCCGCGCCAGGAGGCTCTCTGCCAAACTCTCCTTTACGTCTAAGGTCTACAGCCCCTAACCGATTGACAATGGGTTTAGGGTTTAGGGTTTAGGGGTCTAAGGTTGAAGCCAGGGGCCCCCAGTATGGGCCCTTGACCCTGGGATCCTTGTACACCTGTATATGTACCCTTAAGGGTCCCTGGAAAGGCCTAAGTGTCCATATAAGGGGCGCATGCTTCCAACCTTTGATTAAGGGCTTAACCCTGTACCCTGAACCCTTAGGGTTCAAGAGGGTTCAGAGGGCTTAAGCTTAAGGCTTCAGGATTCAATAAAGAGGATGTGAGGTCGTAGGGCTTAAGACGGCTTAAGGGCTCTATTGGGTTTAAGGGCTTAGGGTTTCGGAGGGTTTTAGGGCTTGGGGTTCTAGAGGGCTCAGGACGGCTACCCTGAACCCCGATGGCAGTGGGGCCGTTTAGGGTGTAGGGCTTAAGGTCTTGCGGTTTACAGTTCAAAGCTCAAGTTAAGCTAAGCTTCGGGGTTTGAGGCTTTTCGGTTTCGAGTTCGGAGGTTTAGGGTTTAGGGGCTGGCTTGAGAGTCGTTTGGTACCTGGAGACCACCCTTTTCAAGACAGGGTTCCTTATACTATGAAAGAGCGCAACCTTCCGTCAAGCTGCTTACAAAGCTAGGGCTCAAGGGCTTTAGAGCTCAGTGGCTTTAAGGCTTGATGGCTTTATTTACAGGGGTTCGGGGTTTAGGGGTTTAG